TGAGTTGTGGTCCACTAAGTTCCGAATTGTGTGAGTCACTTATCGGGAACGGGACTTAACGGTAGCATCCGAAAATTCCCACTTTCATCTCTTCAGTCTCAACTGAGAATCGCAACACTACACAGAGCAGCACTTGCTAACCTATCAGCACTCCCATTCCAATCTCGTCTAACATGCAACAGCTTGTGATCCGGCCAAGTACGTAGTCGATCCAGATCCCGCCGTCGTAGCAGTGTCAAACCCGGGGCCTTATAATCGATCTCACCTCGTACTTGTCGGATCGCCAGGTCGAGTCTCCGCAGATCACTAGACGTCGTGGATCCAGATCTTCCAATAGATCCAAACATAGCACCAATCCATGGTGCTCGCCTGGTTCACTGTCAAGCCTTCGACGTATCCAGATCTAGCCTTCAACACCCTCCATTCAGGCAACTTCCACAAGATCGCGCTATAGGTGCCTCCACCTCTCTTGACACGAGCAGATCCATCGAAACTAAAGACTTATAGATCTTTATCGCATTCAATAGTGGGTTTCGGAGCCTGGATCTTGCGTCTTTGCTCCTTTTTAGGGGCAATCGAGATTAACGCCTTATCCACCTGTGCTCTAGGCGTGATACCCGCCGCCAATGCTCCCAGGATCTTATCTTCACCCTTGACACACTTGGAGGTCTCGAGAGTCCATGGCGACAGTAGAGCAGCCCACTGACCTAACCGTCCCTGCAAGGCTGTAGATATGAAGAGCCGCGCCAAAATAAAATGCCGGGTCACCACACGGATCGGATGTCCGACCAAGGCATTGTAGTTAAGATCTAGGATCCGCAGCAAGGCCAGTACCCCCTTCTCCGCGATGTCATAAGTCGGCTCATTTGACTTCAAGGTATGACTCGCAAACATCACGCGGTAGTAGATCTTGTCATACTCCTGCATCAACGATCCCGAAACGGCCCCGTCACTAGCATATACTACAACCGTAGCACTTCGACATGGATCAATGTGTCGTAAGATCGGAGTAAAGGCGATCTTGGACTTAAGCACGCCGAAAGATCGATAGGCGTGGATCCATCGTGGACCCACTCCAGTGAGATCTTGTGCCTCCAGATCCAGAGACTTTTGATCGTCGATCACTTGACCCTCCTGTGATTCTGGATCCGCATTCGCTGCTTCTAGCACTCGTTGGATCTGAGCTTGGGTGGTCTCTTTTACCATCAAAGTGAAGTCGATTTCTCGCAAATCATACAGAACTGACGCGAAGATCGCGTAGTATTCGATAATTCGGCTGTAATAGTTTAGACTTCCCAAAAATGACTGCATGGCTCTAAATAATCCTGGAAATGCAGAATCCTTCAATTCCGACAGGTCCTTCGGGTTCGCCTCCAGGCCATTGTGGGAGATCTTATGACCCAGATATTCCACCTAGGCATTCCCCAGAAACGTTTAAGCACACTTATCGATAGATTCCACTTATCGCACGTCTAGAGTAAACATTCGACCCGATCACATAGTTGACCCCAGTTATTGGCTGGGATAAGGATGTCGTCGATATATGATCTACGCCTAAGCGCCGACGGCTTACCTGAATCCGCCGGTCCCCCGTCCTCAAATGCATCCAAAGTTCTTCTGTAGTCTTCAGACTTCGGGATTCGGGTGAATCCATATAGCGTGTTGTCGATCATACGTTGATAGATCTGGGGCGCATTCTTCAAGCCGAATGGCATTCGACTTCGACTCAAATAATCCAAAGGGAGTGATAAAAGCCGAGATCAAACGAGCACAATCTGTCATTTTCACTATCCAAATTCCGCTCGTCATATCCAACGAACAGTACCAGAGTGTTGACTCTAGATCTTCGGGTAGGTCGTTGATCAAGGGCATTGGGTAGATCATCAGCTGAGTTACACAGTTAACCAACCGGTAACCGATGGACAACCTGATATCCACTCCATTCTATTTGATGATCACCACGATCGGGGAGGCTCACGGTGATCTAGAGTAATTGACCATCTTGGCAGATAGCAGACCCTTGATCAAGCCTGCAAGCTTCTCCTTGAACTGGATCCGCAACTTACTACACTTCAGGGCGATAGGCCTCGCTCCTCCGACATCGATATCGCATTCAACACCTCTGACCGCGGGCGGAAGGGCATTTCCTTTGCCGATCAAGAGGTGTCGGAACTTCCAGATCGTTTGGCGAATCCGATCATTTTCTTCTGGGGTCTGGTTATCAGATCTACATAGCTAAATGTCCTCGATATTTACATCTTCCGTCGTCACAGGCACTTCTGGCAGTACCGCCGTCTGACCGACGACATCATCCGCGTACAGATCACTTCCTTCGTGGTAGTATACACATTCATCATAATCTTGATCTGAGTACCAGATCCGACGCGCCTGGTTGATCTTCAACAACAAGTGAAGGATCCATGTCCATTTTTGCGCCATAGATGCGACGCACTTGTCGCTCAACGGACCACTGGCCACAGGTCCCGTCCCAGATCGTACACTCATCATTGATGACGGATCAGATCCACCGCATTTCGACGGTGATGTTCCTTCATCCTGATCTCTCGAATGTAGTTGATCCTGATTGGCGACCCCCATTTCATCTCGATTTGCTTCTTCTCGCGCCTCTACTGCACTTGTAGTTTCTTTCAACGACGGATCAGTCGCCCACACGTCTGGTCATACTTGATCGAGATCTTCTAGCGCCTCCTTGACCGTTACAGCATGCGATATAAAGGCTTCATCTGCGATAGACGACAGATCCGACACCTCACTTGCGACAGACGTCAGATCCAACAGTCAAATCTCCCACGGCGATTTGTCCAACGGCGAGTTGTCCGACGGTAGGCAGTCAGGAATATCTTGATCCTGACTCGCCTCGACCTTCCAACACTGGATCAACGTCGTCTTCGGTCGTTGGAGTATTGCGCGCGGAGTTTCGTACTCGGGCCGCTCCATCGCGGGCACCAGCGGGATCTTGACCTCCATTTCTTTGAATAGGGTGTCTGTCGTAGCTTCCAACGCTAGATTCTGCCACTCCATGTAACGACGAGAGCCGATCGAGATAAAACCCGGTATCCGTGGCACATGGTCTCCGGCCAGCCAGATCCCGATCCGTTGGTCCTGCTGCAGGATCAACACCTCGTCCCCGATGTTGGTCATCGATATATATTTCGCCCTCCCTGGTCCATCAGATATTGTCGGCACCCATCGATCCCCACGCGTGCCACGCAGCTTTTCCTGGATCGACGAACCTCAGGGGCAATGGCAGTTCCACCGACTCACTTGCTTGGATCCGAAGGTATTGGCCGATGTTTACGATCTTCACCTTGTCGCTATAAAGCCGCCGTCTCCCGCTAAGCTGGATCCAGACTTGGTCGGGCAAACTCATTGATCCATGAGCTAGATCCAGGCGGATCCCGTCTG